CAGAATAGGCACGTTTTAGGGAGATAAACATCCAAAGCAGGTTTATCCACTGTCAGGCACTCCACTTGCATATTAGCTTTCCATTCTGAAGTGGTGTTGATAAAAAAAGATTATGACAGTTAAAGACCTGGCAATATGTTGCCTGCAATACCACTGGGACATTTAAAGGTCTGCTTCCCTCCCGCTTGTGCCATTTAGCTTGTCGGAAAGTTATGATATGTTAGTTTGTAATTCCACTCGTCTGGCCGCCCTTGAGAGCTGCAAGCTGTTGAAAAGGTGAGTGGATTTGAAAGGTATAATAATGTAGGAGAACTGCAGCAAACCACGTAGAGCTCTTACTGTGGACCACCTCCAGGTTTTGACTGGATCGTTGTCTCACCAAGAGAAATATGCTCTGCACGAGAGGATCCTCTCAAAAGGCTTCCATTTAGACGACGTGCAAAAGGTTTGCCTCATTCTGCAGAATGTGACTCAAATAAATGTGGTGCATTAAGGCGTTAATAGCACAAATATCGATTATAAGGGACAGGAAATGGATGTGGACATAAGGTAGGAAAGTGTGAGACAGTACATACAGAACACAAGCTGTTTTTGAAGAATTTTTAATGTAATGTAATTCCACTTAAGATGATAAAGTTTGGGCGAGCCATCCACTGAGGTATCACGCCCCCAAAACAGCTTTTCACTTTCAAAAAGACATGTGGGCAGCTAGAGCCCTGTGGAGTGGAAAATCATATATTGTTGGACAGGATTCGCCTCAATCCACTGCTGAGCAGATGAAGTGGATATATTTATTCTTTAGCTAAATGAAATGCAGGTTCCACAACTGAATGGACCACCTTAAACCTACCTCTTCCCCCCAAATAATTCACCTTCCAGGATTTTCTAGGAGACCTATTGTTGTTGGACTGTAAATCTAATTGGATTCTTGATGGCAAATCCTCCTCACCAGGAAGAGTGGGGAAGTGGTTTTCATTTAGAGCCAATGCACGCAGACACACACATGCACGCACACATAAAATCACACAAGCACAAAAGCACTGGATTAAAGTTGTGGGACACTGATTGACTTTCACTTTTGTAAGTGCTTGTGACACAGATTACTTCAGGAGTTTATTTAAAAAGAAAACCTCTGTTTTATAATGCTACATGTAGCTTTGACTTGCATTATTTTTTTAGCATAAAAACAAATGTAAACTTCTTATTATTAACATACTTTTAATGATGCCAATAAACCACTGCAAGTATGGTGAGACCAGCACTATGGACAGAACTAGAGGATGAAGATGGGACCTTCTTGGCTTGTTTTACTTGCTTCATTTGTTTTATCTCTTATCCTGATTTGAATTATTCCAACAAAACACATCAATTATGGGAAAACCTTAAATGTACTGACCTTTGACACAGTGTGCAGATGTTGCTAGTCCATCGCTCAATAGTCTCCATGACAAATTATGTTTCTGAAGGGCTCCTCTCAAATCTCAGAGGACTGTGCTGAGCAAATTGGTCTTGTCAAGCAAGATCTAAATCAATATACGCTCACTCATTTCAACTTTATCTTGCCTGCCTTTTTTTTTTTTACTAGAATTTGTGGAATGCATCAGATCACATTTACCCATTAAAGGGCCCTGTGTGGAGTGTTTTTGAAAAAATGACAAAATGATTGATTTCCCCATATGTTCTCAATCATTGGGAGAAGCTCTAGCTCAGCAGGGTGAAAGGAAATCCCTCATTCGCTTCCCTTCCCTGTTTCATTTCTCACCATAAGTGGATGTGTATCCTCCCTTGTCACCTCATCTTCATTCACTACAGGAGCCCTTGTTGCTGCACTCTGAAGGATTGTCTCTCCTCTGTCTTTGCAGCATGCCCTCTGTATCTCCTGTAACGGGCCAGTTAAGGTGTGTGCTGAGCTATGGGCTGGAGCGCAATTACCATTTAACACTTAGATTGCTGCAAAATGGCTGCTGCATTTACAGGGGACTATGACATGCAAGTATTAATGTATTTTTAATGTTAAAAAAGCTTTAAAGACAAACTATGAGATTTCACTAAAACACATCATTGCTTAATTTAATAGACTTAAGAGTTTTCTTGCTACAGCCTCACTTGGTTTGGTCTGATTAGCAGCTTATGATGGCTAATGAAGCAAACTTTAGATAGATATTCTTGTATATCCTTTACTTCCACATGAACCATTATCCAGTAATTGTCACTATTAGAGTAGCTGTTGTCACACAGGCTCACTTTAATTAACATTGAAACTTTAGCTGCATCATATCATAGCAGAAAACAGGACATTTCTCTGCACTTTTTGACAATTAGATAACATTCCCATGTTATCTAATTGGGCCTAAAAGTGATGCATGTAGACATTTTATTATTTATTATTTATTTATACTACTTGTAGACTGAATGAAATATGTCCTTATTTTTGCTACATTATTGTTTGTTATGTTTTAGTATTAAGAACTTTTATTATTTACTGCTAATACCAGTAAATGCTAAATATGGTTGGTTACAATAAAGTGTTAACAACTACTATCTGATTATGATATGCTGATGTTTCAAAATGCTGGATAGAGTGTCTCAGTGCTTAATATTGTTATTGACGGAAAACAAATGGACCCCGGATTAGTTTCTGCTTCAGCTGTGCTGGTTTCCTCCCACAGTCAGGTGGACCGGAGACTCTAAATTGCCTGGAGGTATGAATGAGTGTCTGCACTGTATGTCTGAAAGCCTGTAATGACTTCCCTGCCTTTCTCCCGGTGCATGCTGGGATAGTCTGCGGCTCCCCATGACCCTGAGCAGAAATTAGTGGGTGGAGAATATAAACGAGAGAAAAAGAGAACATATTGTATTTCATTTAATTTGCACTGATGTGTACTTTCCTCATGCTCCTCATCATCGCCATCACTGATGCTTTATCTGTATTCTGCTTGTTTTTTGTGTTTCCCTGTATTGTCCATTCACCAGCACAGTGCAGCAGCATATTTCTTACCACAAATAGCACAATCTATAGTTAAGTAAATGGTCAGGTCTCCTGTCAATTCCAAAGATAAAACTTTCCATTGATGTCTTCTTCTATTACATCCCAGTCCACTGCTTTTGTACATTTTGAGATAATGATTAGAATTGACAAGGACAGCTGAGATAACTGTGCTGAGCATGCCCTTGTTCTGCATTCTGCCTTGATATTTGTAAGCCAATTAGCTAGATTAGAAAACATAATCAATATAGCTACCTTATGCAACCCCACTATTGTCTTATCATTAGAAAAATAACCACTACCCGTCACAACAATATGGTTTAAACCTCACTTTTGGGCTCTGTTTCTCATAGGGTGCGTTATCTTCACTAAGGCCATTATTCTTTATGCATTTGTGGAGTGTTTTTCATTATTAATTATACACTTAAATACTACAGTGACAGTTTATTTGTGATAGGGAATCACTGCTTCCACTTCAGTTGGATAACTCGTCTTTTTAAAGCATCAATCGATGTTTTCTCGGGTATTTTCATGGATCAGCAGCACCAGGTTGTCATTGATTTTGTTAGAATCTCCACTGAGTGTCCTACAACCCAAAGGGATATCGCTCCTTTTTTCTGAGCGGTAATTTGAGCTTTGTGTGCTTTGTGTGTGCTAGGACTTCACTCAACCGCGTCCTTTGTTCTGAAAATTGTCAATAGGAAGTCTTGACCTGCTGTAAATGTGACCAGCCTTTTGTTGTCTGTTTTATGAAGATTTGGCACATGCAGACGCACAAAGTATCAGTGCATTGCAAAACTCTCTATCTTACCAGTAGGTCTTCGCTTGGGTCTTAAAAGCATGCAGAGTGGGTCGTTATTCATTTAAGCTGAGTGAAACAATGACAGCAGGGTGAGATCATGTCTGTCTTTTCTTAATGTTACTGGAATATCATATGTGCAGTAGCCCACTGGTTCCCCACCTGAGGGTTCAAACCCCCAGTAAGGGTCTGCAAAAGCTTTAAGGGGGTGGCAAGGCCTTCTTGATTTATTTTAAATACATACTATATATATATATATATATATATATATATAAAGTAGGCCTATATCTTAGCATTTCATTCTTTTATTTTTTTAGATTTTTTAAAGCTTAAATTATTATTTAAGATTCAAATTTAAAAACAATTTCACAGAATAAGGGCATGGTGAAGACCTGAACACAAGCTTTATTCATAGATTTCTTTATTTAGGTTTATATCTTAAATAAACAGCTATATCCTGCATTAGAAAACTTAAAACAACTAAAGAGCTAACAGTGACCAAGTGTCCACGAAAAGAAAACAATGACAGAAAAAATTATCAGTAAAACTCATCCCTGATGTAATATTCACAATACAAAATCTTCTCAAAATTCATCAAAATCGCTATATAACTTAGCGTTATCAGTTATTGCGTTCATTGTTTGTGTTACTTGTACATTTTATCATCTGTTCTCTACTGTTATTATGAATATCTTATGAAATACCCATAGAATATGTCACTTAGTCAGGGGCCATCAGTTTATTTAATGATTGAAAAGGGGTCCCTTAAGGAAAAGGGTTTGGAACCACTGCAACATTATATGAAGTAGTTAAAGTTAATTTAAGTTATTTGCAAGCTACTATAACTTATCACAAGTTTATGCATCTGTACAATAAACCAGCAATGATTAATTATAATATAATTACAACAGTAGCCATTTTGCTGCATGACGAGTACTTTTCCTTTCATTACTTTAAGTATAATTCGCAGATAATACTTTTGTACTCAGTATTTTTTACTTTTACGATCTGATTTGTTTTATTAGCATTATTTGTTGTTGTTGTTGTTGTTGTGTAGAAGCTTTTAGAAACTTTTTAAGCCGGTAAACTCTGGAGTGCAGCTTTGCTTCTGCATTTGAGCCCAGTTTCCAGTGAGTAGAGTCTCCTCAGTGCGCATGGCACAAAGTAACACGGCTGCAAACAGGTGAAAATATAAACCCTCTTTTATATCGGAGGACTACGGACGCATGGGAATACTTCGTTTCCTCGGCCAACAGCACAGCGTCTTATCAATCTGCTGTCCTTGTACAGTGCCGGGATACTGTAGTCTCCTGTTTATAGCGAGGAGTGATCTCACATAGGCACTGATAGGATGCACTGTGCCACTATAACGTCCAAATGGAAGCCGCAGCTCCACACTTCTCCAGAGCACGTCTGAGGATAGATTACTTTATTTAAAGAACGGGGACGGTGGTTTTCTTTCGGATCATAAATCTGTAACTTGCAGAATTTCGAGCGTCATCGTGGACACATTTTGGTGCAGGGGGACGCAGAGGAGACTACTACCACCGCTTGCATTTGCACAAAGAAGCGCGTCCGGTTGGATTTACGCTGCAGTCTACTTCACGCCAACTGCATTGCCACAACTGTATGAGAAAATGTATCTATCATGAAACTGTGCGCAAGCAGCTTTTCTCATGAACTCTTCCGTGGATCTACAGACTTACATCCACAAGTGGAGCGTTTTTCTGCCTCCCGGCAACAGATAAAAATCACTTCACAACTACCATGGGACAACGTGGAGGGCTAACTAGAGGAAATGTTGTCCACACAAGTGCAGTGAGAGAGCAGGACAGTGACTTCCAGAGGGCACCTGCAGACGAGTGAATGCCGTCTCCGATGTGGAGCTTGTCGCTGTCCGACGCGCGAGTGGTGCTGAAATTTGGATGATGCCTGGCCAGCGACTGCAAGGCTGCCGCTCCCTGCACCTCAACGAGGACAACGGCCGCTTCGCGCTGCTCGCCCTCCTCATCATACTGTACCTGCTGTGCGGCGCTGCGGTCTTCTCGGCCATAGAGAGGCCCTCGGAGCTGCGGGCTCACGGCCGCTGGAACGGGACGCTCCTCAACTTCAGCGAGACCTTCAACATCAGCCTGCAGGACCTCAACTCCTTCCTGCGGGAGTACGAGGCTGCCATCGCCGCCGGGATCCGGGCTGACGCTCTGAGGCCACGATGGGATTTTACAGGGGCTTTTTATTTTGTTGGAACTGTGGTGTCGACTATAGGTGGGTGATCTTTGCAGCATTCACTGATTCCCCTGACCTTTGCATCCATTTGGTTGCAGGCATGGTGTCCTCTAAATACTAATAAATAAAACATATATATTATTAGCAAAGCCCATATAAAGTCTTATAAATAGTAAAAGAATCCCCTGAATGCCTATTAATCAGCTCACACCTTTTAAGGCTGTAATTATTTGATCTTTATAGTAGGTAGGTAGGGGACCTATTTGGGCCCCTAATATCCTGATAAAGCCACATTCCAGACAAGTAAGTTTGAGAATGGTTCATATTAATCGGGCTTCTGTTTGTGAAATAATCATATCATTTCTGACAGTCTGGGTGTCAAAAGGACTGGAGCTGCCATCCCAGTGGGCTGCTTTCTTTCCACTGGCTTACATACAGAATAACAGATTAACATTTTTGTTATTTTCCAGTCATGTGTTACATTTTGGCTGTGAAGGCCTTTGGCAATGGGGGCGACATCTGACTCGCCTGCCAGGAACGGCACACTCATCCCTGGCTATAGGACAGCACCCATGGGTGCAGTCTTTTTTTTCTGCTACATTTCCATTTAAACCAACAGGAATGTCAATGAGAAGCCCCGTCTGCTCCCCCTCATTTTAACATTTGCTTGTGCGATAGGTCAGAAAAGAGCAAGTGTCCCTCGCAGGGCACCCCGAGGGCCAACGGTGTGGTGCACTGCATGGCTGATGGCTCCAATAGCCACTAACACCCCTCTGCCCCTCCCTCCCTGACAGCTAGAGAGGAGCAACAGCATATGAGTGAGTGAGTGAGTGAGTGAGTGAGTGAGTGTGAACGGTTGAACGTGCAAATGAACACACTCCGGGTAATCATTTGAGCTGACAGCAGCTGTCAATCTCTGACCTTGCCCTCAAGACACAAACACACAAATATATACACACAGTTGATACCCCCAGCACCTTCTATTAATTGAAAACTGTGGCATTGGGAGTGATAAAAAAAAACTAATGGCCGGGTGTGGATGCACAAGGAGGATTGGATTCACATGAGCAGAAAAACCTGTCAGAACTTTATTTACGGTTAGACCTTTCATGAGAGCTTTAATGGCTCCTCCACCCTCTGCTGTAGAGCTCTCCAGGAGCCCGTGCACTCAGCTCACCCAGTCCCAGGAGGGGAACCACAGCAGCTGTGTTTGTGTACATGTCTGTGGCAGGTTGGAATCCTTTGTGCTCCAGTTGTTATGCAGCAGCGCAGTCTTCCCTCGACAAGCAGATCATATAAACTGACTCAGCTGCTTGGGGGGGAAATGGAGGGGGAGGAGGGGTGATGGCTGTCCACAGTATTTGTCTTTTTCTTATGCTCGCATGAATTTCTGTCTTGATTTCCATCTCGCTTTGATCTGCTCCACCCCCCTCTCATCCCGCTGGCTTGTGTGCTACTTTTTCTGCATGCTTGTGAGCTGGTGATATAAAAGGGATTTGGGAGCCTCCCCACACAACTCTTTATCAGCCTGGCATCCCCCTGCGCTCTCTAGACACTCCTCCAAAACACTTCCCGCCTCTGACTCTGCTGTGGCAGAGGCTTCAAATCAGCGGTGACACTTTGCTCCCCTTGATGTGCCTCCACAATCTCGCTTTGAAGAATGAAAGTGAAGCTGTGGACACTCAAGGCACTTGTTTATCCAGGGTTTTGGCCAGATTCACAGGTCATTAGTAATTCACCTAGTGTGTTGTTTTCCGATTTCAGGAAACACTGCAGGAAACACAAAAAGTACATTTTTCTAAAGCATGGTCCAAAGAAATCAGACCAGCTCAGCTCTTTGACATTTTCTTTTCATCTTTATTTTGGATGAAAACAATCTCACACAAGGTCAACTCAGCTGCTCTGGAGCTTCTTGTCCATTTTAGCTTAAAAGTTGATATAGAAAGTTTAATCTTGACCTTCAAAATGGCAGTGGGAAAAAACACACTCACCACTTTCTTATGGACTTTTAATCGTGACACCTGATCTTCCTCTACAGTAGCCAGGTTGTCATGGAAATTTCTCAGGAGGTAACAAACAAAAACACATTTTGCAAAGTCAAGAATAAGCCTCCATCTTAGCTTTTTCAGCAATGCTGTATGGAGGGTCAATCTGGCTTAGTTTGTCCATCAGTTTGGTCCAGATTGAAATATCTCAACAACTGTTGGATGTCTTGCCATGACATTTAGTGCAGATATCAATGGTGCCCAGAGGATAATTCCTACTGACGTTGGTGGACTTTCTCCCAGTATGACCAGCCGGTCAAAGTTTTCTAGTGGCTGGGGCTAATACATGGATTGGTATAAAATACATGGCCTACTGGATGAGGATGCATCCATGAGGATGAATGCTAATGACTTTGGTGATCCTCTGACTTTTCCTCAAGTGCCACCAGCAGGTTCACAATTGTGGTTCTGAGTAAAATGTTCAGATCACTATTAGATGGCTTACCATTTGTCCAATATTTTATGACCAAATATTTGCAAAACTAATGACATTCCCATCGTTCTGTGCAGTGTCCAGTTCCTATAATATGTCCATGGTTAAACATCAACACGTTAGCATGTAATTTAAAGAGCCACTATGTCTAAGTCACTAACATGGCTGTAGGATCTTAATCTTCTCTTTTCAATTATCTTTTCTAGTTGGATTGAAGAGTTTATTTTTGTCAGCATCCAACTCTTGGTTGTGTTGTCTGCCCTAGATTTTTAGACACAGTTTGACTGTTTACAAGTTCATTAAAGAGGGCACAAGAGTCTGCTCGGTAAACAGAATTTCTATTAATACGAAAGGTATTTATAACCCTCAAGGCTGATTGATAGCTGACGGCTGCCAATTAGGACAGCTCTCTGTAGCCGTTTGCGGGCTTGTAGGTTTTATTGTAAGTTGCTGTAATGCCATTTTGGAGAAATACTTTGAAGTGCTCCAATGGGTAATACTTGTTTGAGATTCAAGTGTACTTAATGTCTGTCTGATCTGAGACTTTTAACTTGCTGAGATTGAGCGGGACAAGCCAGTTAGGGCATTTACTTGTTTAGCAGTTTTCCACATTATATTCAGCTGCAGGTTTGGATTGTGTTCTGGGTTGTTTATTTCTGGGGGATAGACTCTGTCCTGTCTCATCTTGCCCCTGGCAGCCACTGCAGATTCTTGCTCCAGTACACTCATATCCACCCACTCAGAGAAGTCACAAAGGCAGACAAAGCAAATAGGACAGTTTACTAAACAGCACAAAACAAACCCTCATGCAGTTTGTCCTTTAAATGAGGCCTGATTTAACCTCCACGACTTGCAAAATGAGCAAAAATGTCAGAGGTGGGCACAGTTAAGAGAAGATGAAATCCTGCTAAACCCTGGTTGTAAAGAGCTGTGCTGCAGCAAGATGACATGGCGCTCTTCCCTCAGGATACACTGGGACAGACAACATCTCTCTTCCCTCACAAACCACTGATTTCAGGTTGAAATGTGATATTTCAATCAAAGTGGACTCATTTGGCTAATGGCTTTCACTTATACTGTAATGTACAGTTTATGTTGATACTGTAAGAGAGGTATTAAAGCAGCTCTTTGGTATTTTCTACCAATTTTTCTTCAACAGTTTGTAGGGTTGCACCAGAATGCATTGGAGACATCCCTCAAAATTCAGCTTAAAGCTGCACTAATGAATAGTATTAAAGGCTCAGTTTGTAATGTTTTTGGAGGATTTAATGGCAGAAATGGAGTATAATATTTGTCTGTATTTTTTCATTAGTGTGTGAGGAGTTGTTTATATCTACAAACACGGCAGGTTGCCTTCCTTGGAGGCCGCCATGTTTAATTGGCATGTTTCTATAGTAGCCCAGAACGGACAAATCAAACACACAAACAGAGCCGTTTGCGTTTTTGCAACCGCTGTAGTTTCTCCCTCGGAGTTGAAAAAGGAGGGTGAAACGAGTTAGATGCAATCTGCAACTACACCACTAGATGTCACTAAATCCTACACACTGGATCAAATGGCTGTAATGTGAATTATCACCTAAATCTGCAGTTCCTCATCAACTCTAAATAGTGCTTTAGTCTCTTTCAACTCATCATTTTGGTTTTACAGCCCACGTGACAGCTCTCATTGGTGTTCCTGACATCGCAGGCTGCTATTTTCAGCAAAGAATACTTTAAAAAGCCACCTGCTCTGCACTTAAAGGCAGCATTTAGCATTTAAAGAGCCATCTATCTCCCTCAAGAGTTGGTTAAGAGCTGGATAACATGGATCTGCAGTCAGTTCTGTATCATACTCAGAATCAGCTTGTAGGATTGAGACGTGTAGTTTTAAGCTTGAACCGTATCAAGTTAATAATGATAATGCAGAACACAGTGCAAGAATGTAACTACCTTTCACATTTTTGCTAAAACGGGGCTAGTAGTGTCTGAGATAGCTCTTTTGAGTTTGAGATACGGTCTGTCATAACACTATACTGCCTCTGTCAGGACAATATATATTAATATTTTGCAGTTAAAGCCCAGATGGTGCCAGAATGCACAATTCCTCCAACTTTGCAGAATTTTGGAGGAACCGTGGCCACTATTTTTGTTTTATAGGTCCCACATCAGGCAAATCAGCGTTACACCACAGTAAGTGAAGATGGATCATCTTGCCAAATTTAGTGAAAGTGTAACTAGATGTTACATGCGCAATACATGTATAATGAACAATAGATCAGACCTAAACCACCACAGAAGACCAGAGAAGACATGCAGGTAACTGTCTGTCAGGTTTTGCATTCTCATTATCGCAAACTAATTATCTTATCTCAACATAAAAATAATTGATTTACTGAGATCAAATAGTAATTATGCAAAATGCATTTTGGCATTATATTCAGATCCTAAAACAAAAATCAAGAATTTAGTTAAACTCAAGAACACTACAAGCTTGTTATGTCATGATCACAAGGAGAGATTTAGGGAAAAGCCATGTCATGCCCTCATTGCGTACTGTGCAGTTAACAAACAATCAGGCCTAA